GGTGTCTCTAATGTGTCAATGACTTACATTCCTTTGGCGTAGATGCCCAGGATGGCGGGTACACTGGATTATGATGGCAGTTCTTCTCTAGGCCTTTTGAGGAATCCTTGTACTGTTTTTTCCATAGTGGTTTATGCTAATTTGCATTCACCAACAGTGTGTAAAGGGTCCTGTTTAACCACAATCCTCGCCAGCAATTTGTTGTTATTGCCCTTGAATATGCCATTCTAATAGGTCGGATGAAATAATGAGTATCGTTTTTAATTTAAAGCATAGATTTTACTGTTTTAAAATGGCTGAGAAGTATCTTTGCTGCCCTCTTATCTATATATAGATACTTAGTATATGTCTATACTGTATAATGTGTATGTTAGTTGCTTAAGAAGTCTAGGCACATCCATTACCCTTACCAGAACATTTTGAAGCTATTTCTGGAAATCACAGTCATTTCAATAGATAAGTAAAATAGTTTATTCTCATCAACTTTTAGCAGTTTTTACTTTTTTTCCTTGAGCTTCTGAAACAAAATTTTGGGTCACTGTAAAAGAAGAAAAAAGAACTGATTCCGCTCATACTGACTTAAACGTGCCATCTCTTCTGTTTTTGCTAGTAATTTTTCTTCCCTGATGAAAACTCAATGAGAGCTTAGAACTAAGTTCCTAAGTTGTGCAACCTCAGTTAGCATTTCCAAAGTAACATAGAAAGAACACTAATAAGTAAACTCTCTTCGTCTTTTTTGTAATTTGGGAAATGTGTTTTTTCCATATTCTTTAAAATTGTGAATATCCTTGAATATCACATTATTTCTCACTTTTTGATGATAACTTCTTCAATTTTCCTCTGGGGTTTTCTGACTAATTCCTGAACTATTGCATTATTATTATTTTGATGGAAAAGGGAAACTTGTGTTTAATGCGTTAAGTTATCTTACCTGATTTTATATTGAAGTTTCTAATGTCGCTTGGTGTATTTTGTGAGATCAGCTATGTTATATAAAAACTGGTAGGCAAAGGTAGTTTAATTTGTAAATTTCTAAAAATTTAACTTTATATTTCATTTGTCCCTCTAAAAGATTAAAAGGCATCTTAGAACGTGGAAAAGAAGACTTGGTTGAAGCTGAGATTATAAAAGATTCTCCTGATTCTCCAGAACCTCCAAACAAAAAGCCCCTTGTTGAAGTGGAAGAAACTCCACAGGTGGAAAAATCAAAAGGTAGGATACAATCATGGTAACTATTTGTAAAGACTTTTCCAATTAAGTTTTGTTTCACAGTATCATTTAATATTATTGTGTTTATGAGGAAGAGCTTTTATCTGCTCTTGGATATCATTTAAGAGATTCTCTGCTTACAGTTTTGAGAGCTAGAGGAGGCAAAGACATTGTCAGCATTTAAAAGAAAAAGAGTAGTTATATTTCCATTAGTGAAGCCTTTGGAAAATAAGCATTTTTACTATAAACTCTTGATTTTTTTTTTTGAGGCAGTATTAGGGTTTGAACTCAGGGCTTCCGTTTGGTAGGCGCTTCTACTACTGTGAGCACTCCAAGCAGTCCTAAGTTAGTGCTTAAGAACTGTACAGTTAGAAACTGGAATCTGATTAAACTCCTGATGTTATACTAAGTTCTAGGTTCTTGAAGACATACCTAATTTATTGATAACACTCATTCATTGATAAATTATACTTGTTTGAATGAAGTTAAATGAAGATACTGTTATAAACAGTATTTTCATTGTAAAACCTTTTAACTATTATAAGCTGAGTGCTATAATTTTCTTTTGAAGGAATTCTAGGCATTAAAGATTGAATTTGGAATTTGAGAGCTTCTAAAATAATTCTTGAAGGTAAACTAGGTTTAGTTTTTTTAGTATAAATGGGAATATTGTATACCATCAACAGATTGATGACAGTGCCTCTCGTGAGGCACACACCTCAGGGCTGACTAGGTTCACATTAATGGCAGTTCATCCTAGGGAGAAAGTAGACTTACTTGCTTTTTATATACATCCGTCATGGTTATGTATATTTTGATATGTGTTCAGCTTCCTAGTTTTTTTGAAGTCATAGAATCAGAGATCACCCTTGAGGTAGTCTTCTGATTTACCTTTAAGCATTTGCCAAAGACATCTAGAAACTAGGCTATAAATAAATGTCTGTTGATAACATGCAGGACATGCAGCTTGTGATTAGAATGAGAAATTTAGGTATACGCTAAACTTATGTCTACATTCCTTGGAAATTAGAACTCTTAAAAGTACTTGTGCTGGCAGTAATTGCAAGTAGCCAAAACACATGTTAGTAAAAAAAAAAAAACACAAAGAAACCCCCAAAAAACCTAAATGATAGTGGTCCATAGATCTAATTTATTTATTTATTCATTCATTCTTGATGATAGCCATGATGAAGGGGTCAGATAAATTCTTAGTGTCATTTTGATTTGCATTTCCTTTATGGGTAAAGATATTGAACATTTCTTTATATATTTGCCATTTTGTATATCTTTTAAGAAGTGTCTGCTCAATTAATTTGCAACTTAATACATACATAATTTTTTATATATATATATTTGGATATACGCTTGTTTTGACAATAATTTCAAAGATTTCTCCTATTCTATAGGTTGCCTCTTCACACTAGTAATTTAAAAAAAAAAAAATTTATTATTATACTGGGGGTATATAGTGACATTTAAAATGTGCCTACAGTATATCTTAGTTAAATTCACCCCTTCCAAAACTCCCCTCCTTCCTTTCTTAGAATAGTTTGAACAGGTCTCATTTTTCCTTTTTCATACATTCAATACATATATTTCCACATATTCACCCTTCTACACACCTTTTCCTTTCCTTAGGTCCTTTTTTTGTTTTTTGGTAGTACTAGGATTGAACTCACATGACCTCCACTTGAACCACTCCACCAGCCCTCACCTTTCCTTATATCCTCGCCCTAATACAGGTACCAGCCCCAGACAGTACCTGTTTTACATAGGTATAATTGTGCAGCCCAATAGTAATTATTGTCACGAATACTTGCTCTTCATTCTTGTAATATCTGTATCACTCAGCTTAATTGACTCCTTTTTCAAGAAAAATTCCCTTACTTCATAATTCAGTTAGGTCTGATTCTTTGGTGCTTCCAGTACTTCCTAGACCACTCTGGTAGTACATAGAGCATTCTTTAACATCTCTCTTCTGCTGTTGTCTGAAACATTTTTAAGGGCAGAGACTATTACTCAGCAATAGTTGTGGTTTGCTTCTATGAGTTCAGTTATATGCTGAATGATTGAGTGAATAAATATATACTAACATAGGGAGAAAAAAAAAGGGCTATAAATTCATGTATTCTGTGATGTCAAGTTTTGTTTGAAAGTTCCATACGCTGATACACTAAGCTCATCACTTAAGTGAATTATCAGCTGTCATTAAATTAAAGGAAATCCCTGCTACTTTTAACCCTGAAACGCATATGAGACCGACTTAAATTATAAATCACTGTCTGCCCTTCTAACTTTCCATTTGAGATGGATATTTTGAAAAAATGTTTGCTTTTTCTTCTGCTCTGTTTAACAACCTAAACCATCATGTCTCTTTTGATTGGCAAGTTATCTGGGCCTTTTATTTTATGTCCTTGGAAAATTAGCTCCCAGACCTCCCAAAGTCAATTGTGTACACTGCCTTGAGGATTGGATTATTCCAATGTCCTCTTAGGGCTGGCAGTGTGCCTCAGGGGTAGAGCGCCTGCCTAGAAAGTATGAGGCCTGAAGTTCAAACTCCAGTACTACCAAAAGAAAAAAAAACCCTTAAATATGCCTTTAGAAAATCTATTGAATTCTTGTTGTGTGATACAGTAACAGAAAACCAAAATATCATTTTGGTGATAGAGAGTAGCACTGAATAAAAGACTTGTTAAGGTAATGATATTATGGGTGATTTTATTTGCTCCTTTATGTGTTTTGTTGTTTTTAAATTTTGTCTAATGACAAATTTATAAGAAAAGTAAAGTTCTGTTTTTCTTAAATTTTCTTTAAGCACTCATTTACCAGTAATTAACTCTTTTCTGGTGTGTAGTTTCTTTGAGTTTAGACATTGCATGAAGTTGTATAATGTCTCCCATCACAATCAGTATAAAATATTAACCCCAAAAGTTTCCCTGCGTTGATCTTTGTAATCATCCTGTATTCTTCTTATCCCCCGATCCCTGGTAACTGATGTTTTTCTTTTTCGTAGTTGTGCCTTTTTCAAGAGATCTTACGAATCATATATAAGCTGCTTTTTAAGATTGAACTTATTTTACATGGGCTAATGCATTTGAGGTTCCGTGTACTGTGTGTGGTATTGGTAGTTCTTTTTTACTCCATTTATTTATACAAAGAAGACCTGCCACCCTATTTCCAAAGTGCTGTAACATTTACATTCCTGCTGCAAGGTATGAGCACAGTTAAACTTTTTTTTCAAATGTGTTCGTGCTGGTGGTACTTTGTGGCTTTTGCAAAAGTTCTTACAATGTACAAGTATGTCATACCTGAACTTCACTTCCTTATCATTTTCCTTTATCTCCCCTTCTCCGTTCTTAGAATAGTTTCAATAGGTCTTATTTTTCTGTTTACATACATTTTTACATAGTATTTGCACCACATTCCTCTCCTACACCCTTTTCCCACATCTCTCCCCTCACAGTACAGCCCCTGAGACGGACCTGTTTTGCCCTCCTATTCTCTGATTTAGTCTCTTCTTACGGTGATTTTCCAACAGTTTAAAGCTTCTATGTCGTTCTTGTATATGAGGTACATCAAATCAACTTCACCTTCCTAACTTCCTTCTT